ATCTCCATTGACAAACTTAGTTCCCTGACATGTAACTAGTATATTCCTGTGTGTTTCCTGCCTGTGGAAACCAGAGGGAAGCCTGTGTCTTGACACTCTCTGCTTTGAGCAGCCTCTGCTTGAACCAGTTCTGGTGACTAGGCCTTGGTGCTATGCTCAGCCTTTATGTTGACTATGTGAAAATTAGACAGAGATAGAAGGAAATGTGAAGGAAGGGATACCCACAGTAGCTAAAACTGCAGACTTTGGAGTCAAGCTGCCTGTGCTTGAATTCTTTTTTTTTTTTTTTTTTTAATATGTAAAAAAAGTAATTTTTATTTTTTTGTTTTTTTGGAGGTGATTCATTTTTATTCCACAGTTGTCTTGACAACAATATAATTTATGATATTCTATGTACTTGAGAACCCTAAAATTTTATAATCAAGCAATAGATGGGGATTAACACTTAGATAAAAAATGCATGGGAAAAATTCTTTACAGTTGGGTGAACTGAAGAATGACAATTATTAGGGATTGGGGTCAAAATAAGGGGGTTGCAATTGTATGAGGAATATAAAAATAAAATTTATTATAAAAAAATAAAATAAGTAAATAGAAAAATAAATAAAAATAAATTTTTTTTTTACTTTTATTTTATTTTATTTTATTTTTTTAAATAATAAATTTTATTTTTATATTCCCCCATACAACTGCACATGCCCCATTCTGACCCCAATCCCTCCCCTCCCGGCCCCCACCCCCCAAAAAGTGTCTCTGGTTCATAGTTTTTTGTTGATTTTGATTTTCACTTTCTTATAGTTATTCTTTTTCCTGATCCCTTATTTAAGTTTTCTAGATTCCTGCTATGAGTGAGACCATCCAGTATTTTTCTTTTTCTTTTTGGCTTATTTCGCTGAGCATGATCCCTTCCAGCGCCATCCATGTTGCTGCAAATTGCATGTGTTTATCTTTTTTGAATGCTGAGTAATATTCCATGGTATATATGTACCACATCTTCTTGATCCAGTCATCTATTTTTGGGCATTTGGGCTGTTTCCAAAGCTTAGCTATTGTAAATAGTGCTGCTATAAACATAGGGGTGCAGGTGTTCTTTGGAATTGATGTTTCTGTGTCCTTTGGGTAAATACCTAGGAGTGGAATTGCTGGATCATATGGAAGCTCTATGTTTAGTAGGTCCAGAAATCTCCACACAGCTCTCCATAGTGGTTGGACCAGTTTGCATTCCCACCAACAGTGCAGGAGAGTTCCTTTTTCTCCACAACCTCGCCAACATTTGTTGTTGCTAGTTTTTTTAATATGTGCCATTCTCACTGGTGTAAGATGGTATCTCATGGTAGTTTTGATTTGCATTTCCCTGATGACAAGTGATGTTGAACATTTTTTCATATGTCTGTTGGCCATTTGCATTTCCTCTTCAGAGAAGTTTCTTTTTAGCTCTTCTGCCCATTTTTTGACTGGGTTATTTTCTTTGTTGTTGTTGAGTTTCATCAGCTCTTTGCAGATTTTTGTGATTGAATTCTTGCTGTGCCACCTTACAAACATGTGGTTGCTGAGCTTTTGACTTAGTGGACTCTTGCATTGTGTTTATTTTCATAAACATTGAAATGCTTTCTGGGCAAGGCAAATTATAAATTAAAAGTGGGAAACTAATGTTTGTTATTTTTTTTTTAAGGAAATCAGGGTATTCTTTTTTTTTTTTAAAGATTTATTTATTTATTTATTTATTTATTTATGCATATAAGAGCTGGAGCACAGGTCAGAGGTGCGGGGGCTTGGGGGGAGGGTGGTGTGTGAGAGGATTCACCAGAGACAGAGCAGGGAACAGAACAGGCAGATCGACCCGAGTACACTGCTGAGGGGAGTAGCGGGTGAGCCAGGAGAGTTCTGCTGCGCCATGTGGAACTGGTACTGCAGAGGCTGGGTCTTAACCCCTTGTGCCACCAGGGAGGCCCTAATGTTTATATGTTTTTATCTGGTTATCTTCATGAGTTGTTTTTGTTTTGTTTCTTCGAGTAGCTTCTAATAGAGAAACAGTAGTCATTGAATGCATACACTTTGCAGATTTGAGTTTAGATCCTGTTCCTGCCACTGTATCTGTGACCATGGAGAGGTCACTTCATTTCTCTGAAACAATTCTCTCATCTCTTATTTATGCCAGACTCATGAGGATTAAGTATAATAGTACATCATATCCTGCGTTTGATATAGTAAACCCCTATTAATATTAGTTGCTCTAATTATCATTGAATCAATTATCTTAAATTTTCTAAGGATCACGCTTATTCTCTGCATAGAATAATAAAGTCTTTCAAGACTATTCCTGGCATTTATCTTGATACATTGACTTGAAATTCTAGGAGGTTAATGGAAAATATTTTCTCCTTCATTTTAATGGGAAAATGTTTAAATGTTACCTATAAATAAGGTATCAGATGTTGGTTAAGACCTGACTTTTGTCAGGTAGGTTAGATTAGTGTCTGCATTTTGTAGTGTAATATTTTGTCATATTTTTAATGTGGTAGTCAATTGGGTAACTTTTTTTTTCTTGAAGTTTTGAAATATCTTTCTTGTTAAATCATTTGATTCTTTTCTGTAATTTTTCCTTTGAAAATATTTTTATGTTCTCATTCATAGACATTAAAATTTTTTTTAGAACTCATGCATTTGAAGTTTTAAAATCTAAGGGTTGACATAGTTTTCATTTATAATTTTTCTATTTTTCATATTTATCCCTTTTCTCTTTTCAAACTTTATTTTTCTCTGCTTTTTCAGTTGCCCATTTTTTGTATTTTATTCTCCAAAACAATCAGATTTTTACATTTTATTTTTTACCCTACTGCTTTTCTCTTTTCTGATTCATTGTTTTTATTGATATGTAATTTACATATAGAAAAAGTTCACCATTTAAAGTTTACAATTTAGTCATTTTTAGTATAATTCACAGAATTGAAACACCACCTGACTCATTAATTTTTAAATTTCTGCTTTATTATTTTTCCTTTTGCTCTCTTTGAAGTTGTATAGTTTTGTTCCTTGTTTTACTTTTTAGGCTAATACTTTTTTTCTTTTTAAAATAATACAATAATTTTTGTGTAGTTAACTCCTTAATACAGCTTTGCCTACATCTGAAGGCTTTATTATGTATTGTAATTGATTTTTATATCATTTAAAATTAGCCTGTATAGAAAGCTTAGTATGGAAAGACTTAAATTTTTAAAAGTCACCTGTGACTCACCATCCAAACAATATTTATTGTTAGTGTTTTGGTTTATTTCTATCCAGTCACTTTCTTTTTTCAAATATCACTTAAAATTCATACTCACAAATATATTTTGTCAGATTGGGTCATATTATATTTAATTGTGTTATGTTCCCTTTTTAGCATTACACTGTGAATATTTTTCATGTCTTCAAAAACAACTTTTTTTTTTTTTTTTAAAGATTGATTTATTTATTTATACAAGCACTGGGTACAGTCAGAAGTGCGGGAGGGTGAGAGAATTCACCAGAGCCAGAGCAGGGAGCAGAGCAGGCAGAAGGACCGAAGTACACTGCTGAGGGGAGCAGCGGGCGGCAGGAGAGGTCTGCGCGCCATGTGGGACCCTCGCCTGGTGGTCGGGGATCCAAACGGCGCTGCAGAGGCTGCGGGCACCTTCGCAACCCAGCGTTCAACTGCTGCGCCACCGGGGAGGCCCCCAAAACAACTTTTTGACTAACTGACTTCCCTCGATATGCTTAGGTGGGATTGGAGTAAAAACAAGCTTGTGTGGTATGGACCCTGATGAGGCTGTCCTCAGTTTTCACATGCTCTTTAGAAGCATTTCTTTCTTCTTCTTTTCTTTTTTTTTTTAGAGGCATGTTTTATTTATTTGTTTGTTTGTTTTGTTTATACATGCACTGGGTACAGTCAGAAGCGCGAGAGGGTGAGAGAATTCACCAGAGCCAGAGCGGGGAGCAGAGCAGGCAGAAGGACCGAAGCACACTGCTGAGGGGAGCAGCGGGCCGCAGGAGAGGTCTGCGCGCCATGCGGGACCCTCCTCCGGTGACCGGGGAGCAGCCGGGGATTGAACCGGCGCCGCAGAGGCCGCGGGCAGCTTCGCAACCCAGCGCTCAACCGCTGCGCCACCGGGGAGGCCCTGGAAGCATTTCTGACTCCTGGTGGGAGGCAGGAGGTTCAATCCAGGCATGTAGGGACTAGGTGAATTCGTTTAATTTAGAGGTAAAGTTTTTGGGTTTTTTTTTTAAGATTTATTTATTTATGCATACAAGAGCTGGGGTACAGGCCAGAGATGCAGGGGGTAAGAGGATTCACCAGAGACAGAGTGGGGAACAGAACAGGCAGACTGACTGAAATACACTGTTGAGGGGAGCAGCGGGATCGATACTGAAGAGTCTGCTGCACCATGTGAGTTGCTCCCTGGCAGGCTGGGGATTGAACTCGAGCTGCAGAGGCTTCGGACTGCCTCAAAGTAAGATGTTTAACCCCTCGCGTCACCAGGGAGGCTCTTTAGAGGTAAAGTTTTATAGGAAATTCACTTGGTTTTAAGCTCAAGCTACAGTCTCTAATTCAGCTCCACTAATTACAGTTGAATTCTGATCTCCATGTTTTTGACCATAGTGTCTTCTTTTTTCATTTGGTTTTAGAACTCAGAGTGAGTATTGCCCCTAGAACACCAATAGTTTGTTCAGGTCCATTTATTATAAACATTGGATAGCTTAGTAGTGACTTGCTGAAAATCTAATAGCTTTTCACTAGGAGAATACAAAACTACAAACCACTTACATTTATTAGCATAAAAGACTGATGGGTTTGGTTGTTGTTTTATCGGTTTGATTTATGGTTTTAAATGCTACTGAATGTATTTTAAGTTCATTTTGGTCAGACAGGTCTAATTGGCAGCAAATATGCTCTGCTAATTAATTAACTCTGTGATGGGCTTTATACTGCCTAGACTTTTACATCATTATAAAAAGTCATTGACATCAATAATATTTTATAGGTTCTGCCCCACAATTGAAAGAAGAGAAAGCACAGCCACCATCAAAACCACCTTCTGGAGCTGTGGAAGAAACATTTAGAATTGTTAAGAACTCTCTCAACGATGATGTTGTTAAAGCCACTCAAGCAATTTACCTGTTTGAACTCTCAGGTAAGTAGTATGTCTGGTAATCTGGGGCTTTTATAAACAAAGTAGGATATTTTCTTTGCAAGAACATCAGCCTCCTGTAGTAATCATGTGGATAATTGACTTATCCAGGACCTTGACTCTATGATGTAAACATTCAGAATAGCAGATTACTATTGATTTTTGTTTTTAAAATCAGTTGTATGGACATATGTAAAATAAAATTGCTTTACAGGTACTTCCAGTATTAAATAACTCCTTGGCATATGTAACTGAGAGAACATTTTACTTAGGAAGGGTATCTGGACCATGAGAGGTAATATAATACAGTAATTGATCATCAACCATGGGCACGCTGCTATTTTTATCTTTGATATTATTTAAATAAGACTGAATGTAGCTAGCTTTTTAAAATTTCTCTCAGTTTTGTTAATATGGTATTTCTATGTCAATGATTTTTTTTTTTTTTGTGGGACCCTCGCCCTGGCCGGGGATCAAACTGGCGCTGCAGAGGCTGTGGGTAGCCTCGAAACCCAAGCGCTCAACAGCTGTACCACCAGGGGAGGTCCATGTCAATGATGGTTTTTAAAAAATTAGCTACATCGGCCCATTAGCCTGATTTGCAAGCTTTAACATTATTCTTTTATCCTTTGTCTCTTCTGCTTTATCTTAATCCATCCACCCTTTTCTGTTTTTATTTCCCTTTCTATCCTTTTTGAGCCCATTTTAAAGTGATTCTTGCCTGTATCTGAAACTTCCTGGATGAATTTCCTGTATCCTAAAACCCTAGTCCTGGATGAAGCTAACTGTCTGGCTGCCTCACAGCTGCATCCAGGATACTAAGTTCTGCTAAAGAAATGATTTTTCAAAAAATGAGAAAAATCACTACTCAGTGGATATTTACTAGTAGAAAACCATCATTCTTCTAAGCAACACCTCAGAATTCTGTGTTTCTGTGCTCGATTTACTGCCTCATTTTCCAGTTTTAAACTTCTTAGTTTTCCTCAAGTCTCCCATCTCTCCCCTCTCCATGGCCCATGGCAGCAGTCCATGGGTCACACTTTGAGTAGCTAAGTTCTAGATTCCATTGCTTCTGGCCTCCTCAGGCACTCTGTGCTGTGGACACTGTCCTCTCTTCCACCTGTTCATCCTCCAGCCTCCTTCCCACTGGTATGTTAACATTCTCAGTCTGCTCTATTTTTACAATGAAACTCAACAACACCAATACCTTCCTCTTCTCTTTCTTCTCCTTTTTAGAGTCAAACTTATTTTCCTCTATAATTCACTCTTCTCTGATAACGTTTTTTTCCCTTTCACTGAATTTGCTCTTGTTAGGGGCCTCAGTGACTCCCATGTTACCAGTGGGCATCCATCATTTTTACCTTCTGCAATATCACTATGCAGTGACGATGGGCTGATTACTCTTTCCTTCTGGAAACGCTCTCTTTCTTTGGCTCCCTTGACACTTGGCTCTCTTTGTTTTCCTTCTTTGTCTATAATTGTGTCTTGAAAGAGAGAGGAGCGATGCTTCTCTAGCTACGCTTCTCCTCTGTCCTTCCCTTAAACATGCATATTCTTTGGGTCCCTCTCTTAGCATTCCTTATACGCTACAAATTTTCTAGGACACCCCAGCCACTCACATGGCTTCAGGGACCCTATGACTTGATTATTTAAGGATCTATATTTCTAGCCTAGCCAGCCCTCATTTGCCATTTTCACCTGCTGTGACAAAGATGCCTCAATCTGAAAATGTCCCAAACAGTCTTTGACACTAGCTGTTAAACTTGTTCTTCCTCAGTATTCCTCTTTCAGTAAAAAACACAGCAAATATTTATGCAGTTTCCCCAGCCAAATATTTATCCAGTTTCCCTAGCCAAACTAGCAACCTATTCTTCCATATCGCCCCTCTTTTTCCTCTTCATATTTAATTAGTTACCTAGTATTTAATGAGTTACCTATTTGTGGTTCTGCTTTCAAATTCTCTCTCACATGTCTACTTTTCTCCATTCCCACTGCTATGGTCCTGATCCAGACACACGTCCTCCAGCTCCTGAACTACCCCAACACAATCCTAACTAGTCTTCTGCATCCTCTTTAGTCATTTTTTTTTAGATTTATTTATTTATTTATACAAGCACTGGGTACAGGCAGAAGCACGGGAGGGTGAGAGAATTCACCAGAGCCAGAGTGGGGAACAGAACAGGCAGATGGACCAAAATACACTGCTGAGGGCAGCAGCGGGCGGCAGGAGAGGTCTGCGCACCACGTGGGACCCTCACCCGGTGGCTGGGGATCAAACCGGCACTACAGAGGCTGCGGGCAGCTTTGCAGCCCAGCGCTCAACCGCTCTGCCACCAGGGGAGGCCCACCTCTTTAGTCATTTATTTTTTTTTTAATAGAGGCATGTCATTTATTTATTTGTTTGTTTGTTTGTTTTGTTTATACATGCACTGGGTACAGTCAGAAGCACGGGAGGGTGAGAGAATTCACCAGAGCCAGAGCAGGGAACAGAACAGGCAGAAGGACCGAAGTACACTGCTGAGGGGAGCAGCGGGCTGCAGGAGAGGTCTGCGCGCCATGTGGGACCCTCCTCTGGTGGCCGGGGAGCAGCCGGGGATCGAACCGGCCCCGCAGAGGCCGTGGGCAGCTTCGCAACCCAGCGCTCAACCGCTGCGCCACCGGGGAGGCCCTCTTTAGTCATTTTTAACGTGTTCTCTACACTGCAGTTAGGGTGAACTATTTATTTATATATATTTTAATATATTTATTTATTTATGTTTAAAGATTTATTTTATTTATGCATACAAGAACTGGGGTGTAGGCCAGAGGTGCTGGGGAGTGAGAGGATTCACCAAAGACAGAGTGGGGAGCAGAATAGGCAGACTGACTGAAATACACTGCTGACAGGAGTAGTGAGCTACACTGGAGAGGTCTGCTGAGTCATGGGAATTAGCTCCCTGGCCGGGGATCGAACTCGTGCTGCACTGGCTGGTTGCAGTGGCTGGCGATAGCTTGATAGCTCTGAGACTTTAACCCCTGAGCCACCAGGGAGGCCCATGGTGAGCTATTTAAAGTACAGGCCTCATATCATGCTCCTTCCATGCACATCCCCTAGGGTATAGTCAATGCACCCTTTATGTGGCTCACCCAGCTGTGCTCCAGACTGCCCTGTGAACCCATCTAATGCCACCAACCATTCTCTTAGATCCTTCCAGTCCTACTGTACTTATTCCAGCTCCTCATTTAGCTAATCCTCACTTGCTTTAAAATCTCAATTTCAGCTGGACTATCCTGACTCCACTTCCTCTTTTGTAAGAACTGCATTTTTTATAGTCTTCAGAGCCAAGCCTAGTGCCAGGCACCTAATAAGTCCCTAAATATTTGCCCAGTTTGATAAAGGTTGAAAATTAAAACTTGGGAAGCAGTATTATATAAGATTATTCTAATTGTAGCCATTATTGAGTTTAAAAAGAACAGGGCTTCTTTGGCATTTATTTAATATTTTTATCTTCTTGCAGGTGAAGATGGTGGAAAATGGTTTCTTGATCTTAAAAGCAAGGGTGGGAAGGTTGGATTTGGAGAGCCCTCAGATCGGGCAGATGTGGTGATGAGTATGTCTACTGATGATTTTGTAAAAATGTTTTCAGGTGAGTTTTCACTTTTGTTAGTTTCCTGATTGTTCAAGGAAAATTTAGTTCAACATTGTGCTTTGTTCTTTTCCAAATAATCTGAGCTAATAATTGTTTTAGCTGTGAAATCCTAGCAGCTATTGATGTTGAAGAGTACACAGTCTTGGGAAGGCAGTTCCTACTGCTACTCTACTGCTCCTTCTGCTTGAGCCAACAAATGGGGAATAGGTGTCAGAATTTCCTTTTTACATGACTGAACAGCCCATAAGATAACATTGGGAACAGAGATATTATTCAAAGAGACAAGGTTCCTAGGTGACTCCAGTTCTGCTATTGCACTAAGTATAATTTCCAGTATCATCTGGATCAGCAAAGGTGCTGAACTTGTGGCAGCTCATTATTGAGAGGAAGGTCATGCTTCAGTCTTCACACTGTTATAATAGGAAACAACTTCCCTCTCTAGAGGCTCAGTGAGCCCACTTTCTGTGGAATCCCCAACCAAGAGAAACTTTTTACATAATTTTCTGTTCTGCCCATGTACTTGAATGTGCCAGAAAGTTTTTAAAAGGTGATTTTTTTTTTCTGTTTTCTACTCTTACTATACTACTGCAAATAGTAAGCTATTTAACACATTACTTATTAGAAGCAGTTAAACTAAAGCATTTTAACATTCTGAAGAGGCTTTCTTTTAATGAGTTACAAATGCTATTCCTTCTTTGTTCAGGTTTAGTCTTCATATATTGAATACCACAGTGTATTCTGTGGCCTGGTAGATCTTTCTAATTTTAATCCAGAATGTGGAAAGGCCTAAAGACTATTTGAGCCAGTATATATATATGATATCACTAAGGATTGACACTTCTTCCACTTTTCCTTTTTTATAGTGGTGTTCCCAGTAGAAAAATTGAACAGTATACTTAAGGAAATACAATTATTACTTACTGCAATCTAGTAAGATGACCATCAGTTGGTTTTGGCTTAGGATCATATTTTTTTGTGAATGTATATAAATTATACATGTGCTTATGGAAACAAGATTTTAGCATTACTACTGTTTAGCAGTGTTTCACCTAGTGCTTTTATAACATCTTTCAGTGTTAATGAATAGTTATCTCTTTAATCATTTAAAATATTCTTTAGTGTTTGTTTGGTGTTTCAAAAACTATTTCTTTTTTTTTTTTTAAAGATTTATTGATTGATTGATTTATACATACATTCATACAAGCACTGGGAACAGTCAGAAGCGCGGGAGGGTGAGAGAATTCACCAGAGCCAGAGCAGGGAGCAGAGCAGGCAGAAGGACCGAAGTACACTGCTGAGGGGAGCAGCGGGCGGCAGGAGAGGTCTGCGAGCCATGTGGGACCCTCCTCCGGTGGCCGGGGAGCAGCTGGGGATCAAGCCGGCGCTGCAGAGGCTGCGGGCAGCTTCGCAACCCAGCGCTCAACCGCTGCGCCACTGGGGAGGCCCCTCAAAAACTATTTCTTCTTAAAGCTTAAACACAGTGCTTTGTATATGCTAGATGTTCGCTAAATGTTTGGTATATCTGAATCTTACAAATTATATAATTTTGAACTTAAAATATATTATGAATTTTTAAACTAAAATAACAGTAATTATAGGTAATGTTTATTATATAATTACTGTGAATTGAGCAATACTACCAATAATGGTTTGAGAATAGCTATTTGTCCCATTTTATAAAAATATTTTATAAAAAATTAAGGTGTTGATGAATTAAATAATAAACCCAAGGTCACGTAGTGAGTAAGTAAATGTTGGAGCCAGAATTTGAATACGAGCTGACTCCCAAATTTCTGTTCTTTTAATCATTATGCTGTTCTGCCCTCCAAAGGAGAATGAAGTGACTGCTTTAATTTACATTTTATTTATGTAGCATCAGCTTATAATAACGGCCTTTCCGTTTATTTCTTTCTGTGAATGTGATCCTGAATTGACATGGGGAGGTTAGTAATTTCTTTTAAGTATCCTTATTAGGTATGTTTTATCGCAGTGGTTTAAATTGGAAGCAAGTGACTCTGCTGCTGCTGCTTTTATGTCCTTTCATTTTTACTCTCTATCCCATCTGCTTTTCTTTGAATGAGCACAATTTAGACTTTATAATCTAAGCGTTTTCCTTTAAGAAACTATAGCCATTTCTGTGGCCTAAATTTCTTTTACCAAATTTCATTAATTTAATATTTGTTTACAAAACTGTATCATCTAAGCAACTAGTATCTAACAAAAAAAAAAAAATCTCTCATTTTGGCCAGTAGAGGTCACTGTATGGTAAAGGTTTATGATAGAAAATAAGTTGTACAAGATGACCTGATTAATACATTGGGAGGAGGGAAATACTTATTTTAAATATATATATATATATATATATATATATATACACACACACGCACACACTTATACACACACACATATGAGATGCTCAGCTTACTGGATATTTATATTTTATTTTTCAAAGTAGTATTACTGAGGTATAATTTATATATCATAAAATCCATCTAGTATAACTGTACATGTTTTTTAGTAAATTTATAGTTATACAGCTATCACTTAGATTCCATTTGAGAACACTTCCATCACCTCCCAAATTCGCTCATGTCTCTTTGCAGTCAGTCCCCCCCCCTTTTTTTTTAAAGATTTATTTATGCATACAATAACTGAGGCCACCACAGGCCAGAGGTGGGGGTGATAGGATTCACCAGAGAGAGTGGGGAACAGAACAGGCAGATTGACTGAAATACACTGTTGAGGGGAGCAGCGGGCGAGTCAGGACAGGTCTGCTGTGCCATGTGGGTAGCTCCCTGGCCCGGGATCAAATTTGTGCTGCAGTGGCTGCAGATAGCTTCATATGTTATGTCTTAACAACTTGCGCCACCAGGGATGTCCCAGGCCCCTTTTTTACAACCCCTGTCCACCACTACTTCAGCCAGCCAAACACTAACTTGCTTTCCTATCTCTGTAGATTTGCTGTTTCCAGACATTATATGTAAATTCAATCAAACAACAGTCTTTTGTATCTGGCTTCTTAAATTTAGCATCAGGCTTTCAATATTCATCTGTCCATGTTGTGACATGTGTTGTTACTTTTTCATTTCTTTTTATGACTAAATAATATTCCATCATATGGATGTACCATTATTAGTTTATCCATTCATCTGCTGACTGACATTTGGGTTGTTTCCACCATTTGGCCATTATGAATAATGTTTCTATAAACATTTGTGTACAAGTTTCTGTGTTGCTGGTTCATATGGTAATTCTGTGTTTCATTCTCTGAAGAATGAACAAATTTTTCCACAGTAACTGTACCATTTACATTACCACTAGTGATATATGATGATTTGTTTCTTATCCTTGTCCTCATTAACATTTTTTTTTAAATTTTTGTTGCAGTACATTAGTTTACAGCATTGTATAGGTTTCAGGTATAATTAAATTTTGACATCTTTATGTGCTATTTTATCATCCCCATCAAAACTCTAGTTTTCATTCACAACCAACCATACAGTTGACCCCCTTTACCCAATTTGCCTAGCTCCCACCCCTCTTCCCCTCTGGTGACCACCATCTTTTTTTTTTTTTTTTTTGCTATAATAACCCCATGTGGTCTGGTGGGTTTCATGGTATAATAGGGACAGAGCAGGGAGCTGAAGGGCACGTAAATGTCAGTATTTGTAAGTTTTAGGGAGAGCTGTTATTTTCATTCAAAGAATAAAGTTCTTCCAGTATTTTCCATGTAAATCAAAATATCCTTTAATCTATTATTTGTAAATTTAGGTATTTTAATGTCACATTTCCTTGGAATAGTGCCCAGCTCAATTTATTCATTAAAAGAAATGGATTAGACTCCTTTCAATCCATAACCAATTTATAATGCTTTGCTGCAACCCCTGTTCAGAATAATTTAAAGGTGTTTATTATGTACACACAACACATTAACCCACACTTTTTTCCTACCAAGAGTCAGTGTGTGACCCAGTGGAGGTTTGTTAGTACACTAGACACAGTTGTGCATAGTATAGCATAGAAAACTATGAATGAGAGACAGACACATCTGACTTTGAAATATAGCACCATCGTATATATAACCTTGTTTTGCCCTGGGAAAGTCAAAATCCTCTCTGAATCTCAGATTCCTCATTAATCGTGTGCCAAGCCCTTCGCTATCATTAGGATGTGAGTAGTAAAAAAAATTCCTCCCTCCATGGAGCTTCTTTTTCATTATTTGTTACTAATTACAGTTTCATTTAAAAAATTTTTTTTAAAGATTTATTTATGCATACAAGAACTGGGGTATAGGCCAGAGGTGCAGGGGGTGAGAGGATTCACCAGAGACAGTGAGGAACAGAACAGGTAGATTGACTGAAATACACTGCTGAGGGGAGCAGCAGGCAAGACAGAAGTCTGCTGCGCCATGTGGGTCTCCTCCCTGGCCAGCTGGGGATTGAACTCATGCTGCAGTGGCTGCGATAGCTTCATAGTGCTGTGTGTTAACCCCTTGCACCACCAGGGAGGCCCTACAGTTCTGTTTTAATGCTCATCTTTTAAGTCCTGGCATTTCTGTCACTAAAATAATGCTAAGTTATACTTCTGTGTTCCTACATAATACTTTTAATGATGATTTCTTTATAAGAATATTATATGCATTTATACCATTTGATTTTTTTTAATAGAAACTTGAAATGTTAGTTTAATGAACTATAACATTGGAAAATAACTTAAAATAGATAAGATTTGTGTACAGTTCATTTGAGGACCATGTATCTTTTAGATAACTGAAACTAGTATATAAATCTTCAGCGTTTTGCTATAATTTATTGTTTGTTATTGTTTTCTGATTGTTGTTTTTACATTATCTCTCATAGAATATTATTTAAGTCCAGGAATTGGGGTTCCCATGATACTAAAAAATGCTGTAATACAAATTTCTGTTTGGTTTTAGAACTCAAAGAGATTATTTTCTTTTTCTTCTTTTCTTTTTTAAAATTTTCTTTTTAAATTTTTTTCTTTTAACATTTATCATTTAAAAAAATTTTTTTAGACAATATTTGCTTCCCCCCACCCCCTCAGATTGAGTCCCCATAGAATTTCCTTCCCCAAGGCACCCATGCACCATCACCTCAGTCCTCTGTGCTCCTCCCTCCCTCCCTCTTACCCCCTCCCTCCTCCTCCCCTGCAGGATGTCTCTGGTTTACAATTGTCTGTTTTTGCTTTGTTGTGTTTTGCACTGTTGTTATTATTTTTTTTTACACTGATAACCTATTTGGTTCCCCTAAATTCCTGTTATAAGTGAAACCATCTGATATTTTTCTTTTTTCCTTTCGGCTTATTTCACTGAGCATAATTCTTTCTAGCTGCATCCACGTTGCTGCAAATGGCATGAGTTTATCTTTTTTGATTGCTGAGTAATATTCCATTGTGTATATATACCACATCTTCTTGATCCAGTCATCTATTTTTTGGGCATTTGGGTTGTTTCCAGGTTTTACATATTGTAAATAGTGCTGCAATAAACATAGGGATACAGGTGCTCTTTTGAATCGGTTTTTGTGTCCTTTGGGTAGATCCCTAGGAATTGTATGGTAGCTCCATTTTTAGTAGACTGAGGAACCTCCAGACAGCTTTGCATAGTGGTTGGACCAGTTCACACTCCCACCAGCAATGTAGGAGAGTTCCTTTTTCTTTTCTTTTTTTTTTTAAGGATTTATTTATTTATTTATCCAAGCACTGGGTACAGTCAGAAGCTCAGGAGGGTGAGAGAATTCACCAGAGCAGGGAACAGAACAGGCAGACTGACGAAATACACTGCTGAGGGGAGCAGCGAGCCAGCAGGAGAGGTCTGCGCCCCATGTGGGACCCTCATCAGCGGCTGGGCATGGAACCAGCGCTGCACAGGCTGCGGGCAGCTTCGCAGTCCAGCGCTCAACCGCTGCACCACCAGGGGAGGCCCCACAAAGAGATTATTTTCTAATGCATGTTCTCAAAGTGGAATATCCCTAAGGGCACTCATAGGGACTTTTTTTTCTGTTTTTCTCATTTTAGGGAAACTAAAACCAACAATGGCATTCATGTCAGGAAAACTGAAGATTAAAGGGAACATGTCTCTAGCAATCAAATTAGAAAAGCTAATGAATCAGATGACTGCCAAGTTGTGAAGGAAAAGAAGAAATACGTCAGCCATTAAGCTCACAAAGTGTAAAAGGGCTCAACAGTTAAAATCTAATGTTTGTTTTCTTCCCCATTTTATTGTAAGGATATGCATGTGTGTTCTGGAAAAAAAAATGGAATTTCTGTATCTATTAAGACTTGAAATTTTAATTAAAACAGCTAGCTAATAGCTTCATTAAGCAGAATTCTAAGACACCTTTGTTTTTGATATATTTTTTGAGTTTTGCTGTCTGAGCCCTCTATCTTCCAGGGAAAGTGTCATGAGTAATTAATCAGGGTCGAGAAGTAACATTAGGATTTTTCAGTTTTTCTCATACAAAGTGAGGCTAATCTGTTTTTAAAATAATTGGTTTTTGATTGTATACTAATAAAAATATTAATGATATTTTAGATTTTTATATACTTACTTAAAGGGCTTCCACAATACATTTTTACAGAAATCATACCATAAACTACTTAGTATATACTATTTGTAAAGATAATGAAATGAAATAAACTTTCTCAGTTTTCCATTTTGCTCACTAGCTCGCTAGTTATGTTACCTCTGAGAAAACACTAATGTAATTCAACTAATTGCAGTATACTTTCTATTTTAAAGTCCTAAAATAAAATAAATTCTCAGAAGTACGCACTTGGTCACAGTGTTTTAAAATGAGAACTTACGCAATTGATAGTTACTATGGACTGAATTTATGCCCCTTAAAGCAAATTCACATGTTGAAGACTCATCACCATTGCCTCAGAATTTGACTGTGTTGGGAGACTTTTGAAGAGATTAAGTGAAAAATTAGGCTTTTTTGGGGGGCCCGAATCCAGTCTGACTGATATATATATAATGAGAAGATATTTGGTCACAAAGGAGAGGCCAGAAATCCTCACAGAAGAAAGATCAAGTGAGGACACAAGAAGGCACTTCTCTGCAAGCTAAGAAAAGAGGCCTCTGAAGAAATCCAATCTGTTGACCCCTTGATAATCTACAGAACTGTAAGAAATAAATTCTGTTGGCTTAACTGCCCAGTCTGTGGTATTTTGTTATGGCAACCTAGCAAACTAATACAATGGTTTTTGTTTTTTTCTTTTTTTTTTTTTTTTAATAGAGGCATGTTTTTATTTATTTATTTGTTTGTTTGTTTGTTTGTTTATACATGCACTGGGTACAGTCAGAAGCGCAGGAGGGTGAGAGAATTCACCAGAGCCAGAGCGGGGAGCAGAGCAGGCAGAAGGGCCGAAGTACACTGCTGAGGGGAGCAGTGGGCGGCAGGAGAGGTCTGCACGCCATGTGGGACCCTCCTCCTGTGGCCGGGGAGCAGCCGGGGATTGAACCGGCGCCGCAGAGGCCGCGGGCAGCTTCGCAACCCAGCGCTCAACCGCTGCGCCACCGGGGAGGCCCCCTGTTTTTTTCTTTTTAACTTATAAAAAGCTCTTTCCTCTCATTTTAATTCATTAAAAATACTGTATAATTCTTTTGCTTCTTATCTCCCACTTCAATATTATGCTCTTAAGCAATTTAGCTAATCCTAAGAATTCTTAAAATCATAATGTTAGGAACATTTAATCTGCATTTTATAAATGAGGAAGTAGAGGATCAGAGATGTGAAAAGATAGATTAAGGCCGAAAGGGACAAGCCAGAGTCTAAAACAACCTCCAAGCACATTGGCCTTGGCTAGAACTTGAAGACCTCATGTCCTCCTTTGTGAAAGAGATGACTTCTTGTAGGGGATGAATTGTCTTTGGGGTGACAGCCTTAGCTCCCTTGGAAGCTCCTGGTCATTGCTAGCCTTGTGAGGATCAGATGTCAAGACTCCTTTCTACTTAAGTATTCTAAGAACTTTCCACCTTTCTCTGCTTTCTTCAAATGAATGGTCTCAAAACTTTGGGAAAGTAAAAAGTAGAAAATACCATGAGGCAGGAATTCTGGGTTCTGGTCACTAAAACATGAACTTGAGAACTAAAAGGCCCTGGTTTTCTGATCAGTAATTGAGGAAATTGGATGAGGTCATCTGTGCCCCTTTGTGCTCAGTATCACTGAGAAGTGCTAAGTGATCTGCTCTATTCTATCAGAAAGAAGGTACCGTGCCTATAATCCTAAAGCCTCCTCCATTGCCCTATCTCCCAGCTACCTTAGTGAATTCCTATGTGTTCCTATTTTCTGGATCTTTTCCCATTAACTGCATTGAAGTTGTAGTAGATCCTCCCAGAAGTTGGGAGGAGCCATTTTGTGTGCTGTCCAGTAACCAATTACACCTGTTCCTAAAATAGAATGGTATGGAGGCAAATCATGCTGCTGACTTTTTAGTGATTGAATTAAGTTATTTAGATAATTTTAAAACTGACTTATTGCTAGCAAATTTGTCTTTCCTCTTATATATGCCTCATAAATAATCCTCTTAAGTAGAAAAAAAAATCTGTTTCTTCTACCTATTTTAAGTTCTCAGCTAAGGCCAAGTAAACTAGACATCAAAAGACAGATGAAAAAGAGAAAAACAAATAGAAGTTTATTAACATGGACATTGCACATACACAAGGGAGCACTCAGTAATTGAAAGGAGTGGTGAGAACTTGAGCTTACTTAATATCTTAACAAGAGAACACATCTTTTAGAGAAGTAACAAGACAAAAGATTTTGAGTTTGTAGGATAGAAAATCGTGTAAAGAAAAATATGGATTGTGTAGATGAGTATGTTTTGTAAGAAACTCCCAAACTGTCTTCCAAAGTGACTAACATTTTGCATTCCCACCAGCACTGAATGTTTCTGTTGCTCCACATCTTCACCAGCACTTGGTATTGTCAGTGTTGTGGATTTTGGCCATCCTGACAGGTGTGTAGTTTCTCCTGAGTTTTGCTTTATTAAAAATAGTAAGTGGGAAACATGTAGTCAGGAAAACAAAGTTCTGTTTTATTCAGCAAGCACTTCTGAATACCTAGAGTATTCTACTATCTTGGGTACTGCAGAAAATTACTAAAAGTAGAAGACACTGTCTTTATCCACAGCTAGATACAAGGTATTCTCATTGTTGTTTTAATTTGTAATTCCCTAATCACATGTGATGTTGAACATCTTTTCATATGCTTACTTGCCTCTATATATCCTTTGGGAGGCATCGATTCAGGTCTTTGGCTCATTTTAAAATCTGGTTGGTTGTTTTCTTATTGTAGTGTTTTAACAGTTCTCTATATTTTGGGTAAGAGTCCTTCGTTAGATGTCTTTTGCAGTCTGACTTGTTTTTCCATTCTTGATACTCTTTTGAAGAGCACACATTTTCTAATTTTAATGAAGTTCAGTTTATCACTCATTTCTTTCATGGATTGTGTCTTTGTATCTAAAAAGTGGTTGCCTTCATTTCTCCTGTTATTTTCTAGGAATTTTACAGGTTTGTATTTTATAGTTTTACATTTATAGCTGTGATCCATTTTTTGAGTTAGTTTTTGTGAAAATTGCTAAGTCTGCAAAGGTTCCTTTTTTTTTTTTGGCACGTTGCTATCCAGTTGTTTCAGCAGCTGCCTCTATTTATTTATTTATTTTTAAAGATTTATTTATTTATGCATACAAGAGCTGGGATACAGGCCAGAGGTCTAAGGGGTGAGAGGATTCATCAGAGACAGAGTGGGGAACAGAACAGACAGATTGAGTACAGAGTCAGGAGAGGTCTGCTGTGCCATATGGGTTGCTCCCTGGCCAGCCAGGGATCAAACACGTGCTGCAGAGGCTACGGACAGCTTCATAGGTTGCGCCTTAACCCCTTGCGCCACCAGAGAGGCCCTGGCCCTATTTATTTTTTAAAAGATCCTAGCTCTCTAGTGAAATTTCTTCATTCTCTTATCTATGTGCTTGAACATATTAATCACAGCTATTCTAAAGGTTGTATCTAATAACTATAATATTTGAATCATGTGTGCATCTGTTTCTAATGTCTTTTTTCTTCTTGACCTTTGGTAATTGTTGATAGAATGCCAGGGACTATGTATGAAAAATTATTAAGATTCTCCAACCAAATTCTTAGTTTCTTCAGGCAAGCAGATAGAACAAGGGAAAATCCCTTAATTCAACCAGGGACTGAGATAGTTCACAACTGTTGGCATTATTAGTAATTTCTGCCTTGCTTTTACTCTCAGGGTATAGATTTTTAAGGCTTTCAACTGAAAGTCTAAGGTGTTTACACAGACCCCTACTTCCTATTTATTTCTTTCAAGCACCAGAAAAACAGAAAAGGATTTCTTAGGCTTTCTTTTTTTTTCTTTTAACACTTAGCAGCTACTTTCCGCTTGATTTCTTGGCTTCTTGCCCTTTGCATACACAGGTTGGAATCAGGATATGCTTGGAGAGGAAATAGCATGGAGCGTGACTGATTCCTTTATCATGAGCACCTTTTTAAAAAAGATTTATTTATGCATACAAGACCTGGGGTACAGGCCAGAGATGTGGGGAGTGAGAGGATTCACCAGAGACAGAGTGGGGAGCAGAACAGGCAGATCTACTGAAATACACTGCTGAGGGGAGCAGCGGGCAAGTCAGGAGAGATCGGCTGAGCCATGTGGGTAACTCCCTGGCCGGGGATGGAACTTGTGTTGTGGTGGCTGCAGATAGCTTCATAGGTTGCGTCTTAACCTCCCGCACCACAAGGGAGGCCCCCCATGATCAGCTTTTTCTGGGACCTTGCCCTTTCTGGTCCTAGCTGTCTCAATAGACATGACCTCCAAATTTTGTATCTCCATTGCAGTCAAACTGTCACCAGCTCTAGGATGCCTCTTACTGTTAGATTTCTGTTCTAGGCACAAGTCAACAATACATGGAGAAAGAAAAGTGAGAGTGTAGAATTCATGTCAATGTGTTTCCCTTCGTCCTGGGCTCTTGGACTTTCAATTCTTGGTCACCTAGATTGTGCTACAATAGCTTTAAACAGCCTTAAATAATAAATAAATAAATAAAATCCAACTCTTATAATTCTCAGTGGAAGAGTTAGTTTGTCAACAGGGTACCCCATTATAGCTGGAAGCCTGCATCATTAAAAGAATGACTTCATGATGCAAATTGGGCTGTATTTCTTTGTTAAAAAATAAAATTTATCCTCTTACTATTTTGAAGTATAAAGTTCAGTGCTGTTAACTACATTCACATTGTTGTATAACACCTGTAGAACTTTCTCATTGTACAAAACTGAAAAACTGTGCTCATGGAACAACAATTCCCCATAGTCCCCTCCTCCAGTCTCTGGTGGCCACCATTCTGTTTGTTTTATTGATTCAGACAATGCTAAGTATTCACATAAGTAAAATCATACAATATTTGTTCTTTTGTGACTTATTTCATTCAGGCTGATGTCCTTAGGTTTATGTATGTTGTGGCATGCTTTTTATTTTAAATCTGTTTTTTAAGGCTAATAATATCCTTTGTATGTATATACCACTTTTGTTTTATCCATTCATCCATGAATGGACATTTAGGCTGCTTTAACCCTGTGGCTTTTGTGAATAATGCTACAGTGAGTATGATATGGAAATACCTCTTTAAGACCCCGCTTTAAATGCTTTTGGGTATATGTATACCCAGATGTGGGATTTCTGGCCCCTATGGTAATTTCATTTCTAATTTTTTGAGTAATCTCCATACTATTTTCCATAGTGGCTGCACCATTTTACATTTCCACCAAAAGTGCGCAAAAGATTCCAATTTCTTCACAGGATTGCATATTTGGTATATGTAGCAAATAGCTGGTTTTTCTTTTGTTTTTGTTTTGATAGACTTTATGTTGTCAAAATGGTTACATAGTCGTTTTATTTAGCCTAAACCAGAAGTATCCATTCTCCTTTGTTCAGAAGTTAGTCTCTTTCTCTGTCACATTCTCACCATCCCAAAGGTAGGAGTGATTGAGATTTCCCTGTCACATTTGGGGTGAAGCCAAGATGTGAGCACCATAAAATCAGATAAGCTCCAAATATTATTTACTATCATTATTATATTATCTTGCAGATGCTTAGTGCTGTAAGCAGAAAGAGAGGTAAGAGGGTGGAATCTGAAGCCAGACTTCCTGGAATGAATCTGAGCTCCTCCAGCTACTCTCCATGTAATTTTGAGCAAAGCCTCACTTTGCTCATCCATAAAATGGCAAAGCTAACAGCATCTACTGCATAGAATTCTTAGAACTAAATACATTTTCAGAAAGCAGTTAGTGTAGACCCTGGACACATAGTAAGTGCTACCTATGCAAGTGTTCCTTAGGTAAAATAAAGGTGGAGGGGCAACTGGCATTGAGATAGATAGGCAGACAGGGCAGAGGCCCTTACTCAAAAAAGTACCAGCAATGCACAAATTCCCAGAAGGCGCGGAGCACATTTTGTGGTCACAACTGTGCAAATACAGCAGCACGGCTGCTGTGCAGACAAAACAGCACCTTTTGCAATCACAGTTGTGCAGACACAGCAAGCCCGCATGGAAAATTCCCTGGCAGCTAACTTCCTCAACCCCCCAGGATAAACCAACCCCCTAGACTCGAGGGGTCCAACGGCAATCCCCTCTCTTTTGCAGGGAGCGTTCCTATCGCTAAAATTAACCTCCTAAACTCATTCTTCCTGGTCCGTGTCCTCAAAATTCTGGGCTGAGATGGTGCGACTCCCTCGCGGTGTGACAGCATCATGTAGCATGTAAAACCTTACCTCTGTTGTGCCAGGCGGTGTAGACAGTTACCGTAGGCTTCGCCAAAGTTAGTGTTTCAGATATCCTTAAGTGGCCCCGCTCCCTCCGTGGGATGATGGGTGCGCGTGTTGCAGTTGGATTAGGAACTTCCACCCGGGCAGTGATGCCCGTGCACTGGACTTCCGTCGGGCAGAGGTATTCTTGCATATGCCTGGTGTAGAGGTGATTCTACTCGGTGCTTAAAACAGGTGTCACACACCTGACAAATAGGTTAGGTTCCTGCGAGATCTGTTGCTGGCGTTTGGCTGCAACTGCACGGAGCAGCGAGCCCCGAGCGAGTGGCAGCAGCGGGGACTGCCCCCCTCGGAGCGTCGCGGGATCGCGGGCTCCACACCTGTCGGGCTGCCGACGCCGCGCTCGTCCGCGCGCGCGTGTCCTCGCAGGGTCGGTGCGCACCTCCTCGGGCGGCGAGGCCGGCGAGCTCCGCGCGCCGTGGGAGGTGGAGTTACACACTTCCTGTGGGTCTCGCGGACCACGGCGCGTTTCCGGTGCCGGCTGGAGCCCGGGGTCCGAGCCCCCGCCCCACTCGCCGGCCCCGCCCCGCCCGCGCCCCGCCCCCCGCCCGCCCGCCCGCCCGCCGCGATCCGAGCCGGGCGCGCGGAGCCCGGGGCGCACGGAGCGGCGCGCGCCGGTCGGCCGAGTCAGGCTGGCGCCCCCGCCCCCCCGCCCCGCGCCTCGGTCCACCGCCCGCCCGGCGCCTTCTCCGCTCCACTTGCGCTCGCCAGCCGGCCCTCGGGCCGCCCGCCCGCCCCTCCGTCCCGCCCCGTCCAGTCCCACTGCCCGGCTCCCGCAGGCCCCCCCGCCGCCCGCGTTCCTATGGACAGACGCACAGACACCTGCAGGTGGGTGAGAGCCCGCGCGCGGGGCGGGGACGAGCGCGCCGACGCTGCCACCCGGGCCGGGGAGCCCCTTTGTGTGGGGGGCGGCCGCGCTGGGGTCCGCTCTGCCTCCCCCTCGGCGGCCGCGCAGTGACCTGGCTGAACCCTCCTTTTGTCTCCTCTGGGGTCGGGGGTGGGGAGGCCGGGAGTCGGGGCAGAGACCCGGGCGGCCGCACGTCGCCGGAGACTGGCTGGGGGCGCGCGGGGCGGAGACCCCGGGCGGCCGAGCGGGCGCGGGGCGCGGGCGCGGGGCCGCGGCTCCCTCAGCCTCCCCGGGCCGCCCCGCCGCGCAGCATCCCCTGTCGCCGCGGCCGCCGCGGGCGCGCTGCGTGGCCCCGGCTCGCCTGCTCCGGCTCGCGGGTCTGTCGGAGCGAGAGAGGAGGGCGGGAAGGAGAAAGAAAAGACCTGCCCTCTTAGTTTCCAAGTCTTGAGGTGGTTACGGAGAGAGGGGACGGAGGTGGCGCGGGGCTTTGCCCGACTTGGCGCCCTCCCCGGAGGCTCGCCGAGGTGCGTTTGGGGCGTGAGTGCAGGAACGTGCGGCGCGCGGTCCCTTATTTATTGTTTCTAACGGAGGAGGGCTTTCGCCCCGAGGCTCTTCCGTCGCCACCCCCCCTCCCCAATTCCGAGGCTGCGCACAGTGATTTGTGTTTGTTATCAAATACACCGAGAAACGTATTCCCCCGGGTCGAAGGAGGTTGGGCTCGCCAGGATCAAATGGAAATCAACCCCAAATGCGAGAATGTTGTCGGTTTTCTGCTGGCTGGCTTGCTCTCTGTTGGATAGCGACTTACAGGCAAGAAATGAAAGGTGAAATTGACTGTGATATTTACAATTAAGTTTACAAGCGTTGATAATTAAAGTTTGGGGGTAAAGTTTTGTGTTTCCCAGATTCTTTGGGACTAGCACGACAGAGGCTTCTACCTAGTGAATAAACAGGTAACAAGCCAGTCAGGTTGTGACACCTTCCACGGTGGTTAAACTGGAGTGCGAAAAACAATTGCTAGCTTTCCATTGCAGACGGACAACCCTTTTTTTGGTGCTGGTTTAGGATAGGAAATCTTTAACATCATATAAGGAGAACGAATTAAAACTGATTTAGTTAGTACTGACTCCTCTTCTCCTCATGACGTCCCCACTTTATTCTATGCGTTTATGTGTTCTCTGTATATAATCAAATGATTGGATTGTATATGTGAAGAGTATTTTTTAATGTGCTGTAGATGCCATTTAATTATCTGACTGAGTTTCTTAGGATCAGCTACTATGTAGTTCAATAATAATATCCAAATAATTAAGTTGAATAAGCACCCAGAAAATTAATTTTACAGAATCAGATGTTTAATGCAGGTACAATTTTTATATCATTGTAATCATCTCAATCTGCCGCTCACTTCTGGAGACCTGTTTTGGTGCCTGTTGTTAGAAAATGCCTGTTGACGAACTTAAATCTAATGGTTACCAGTAGATTAAAACACACACACACACACACACCCCACCCCCCACCCCACCCCCAGTTTGGAACCACTCACATAGATAGGTGAATGTACAGCTATCTATAGAAAATGAAGGCTTTCTTAAATTAAAAAAAAATTATCATCTAAACTTGAAGGAAAAATAAAGTGTAAAATATTTGTTATTTAATTTTCCATCAGGTTAAGATGGAGAAACTCACCTGAAAAACAACTCAATGCATTTTTAATTAGGCAAACTGATTTATGTCATTCTAAAGGGGATACAGTTTAATAGGCCTAAAATAGTGATCTTTTTCTAGGAGAAAAATTTATCCTAGATTCTTGCCCTAGTTACATTAACAGATTAATATTATTGCGTGACTAATTTTGTAAATGCCTCAAGTGTACGTTTTTGTAGACCTGACTTAAAGCCTATTGAGAAGGCTACATGTAACAATGGTTATGCCAACCCCTTTGAGTTGATTAAATTTTATTACTGCCTGCTGTGACTTCCGGTCTAGATTAGATAAATGAACTTAAACTCTGCACAAAGGCACAGAGCTCAGTGCCAGGCACTGGGAGGCCCATGAGCAGGGTTCTTTTTCCTTTTCTGTTAGAGATGACCCTAAGAGGATGGGTGTTAAAATTCATTTGAGCTTTATCATGAGCGGTGGATGGAATTCAAAAATACTCCCAGAGTTTCAGAAACACTTCCAGGGTTTGAGCTCTTAGACACACACTCTTCATCAGCTCTTGGGACTATTAAAAAAGATAAGTCAACAAAGTGAATTGCTTGTTTTATGTGTTTATTTACAAGACTTTCAGTCATTAAAGAATATGGTTTAACAGAGTTCCTGTGTCAACCATATTGCAACAGAGTGAGGCCTGTATTGAGAATTGCTTGGCAAAGTTGTAGTTGTTCCTAACAGTTTTCTAGGATTGCTGGTGCTTTTATGTGGGTTGGCTAAAAGATAACAGCTAGAATTTTTTTGTTGTTATTGTTGCTTTTAGGCTGTGACACATCCATGTTATTTTTTTTGGTTCTTAACATAGCTAAGTGATATTTTAGTGTAAATAAAAGCATTCCAAAGAAACTTACATTGTATTAACTGATTTCTCTTTTGGTGTTACATTGGTATATAAGAGGGAATATAAATTATTTTTCACGTTTTATTGTTGAATTTTTTTCCTGCTGCTTTTGATATTATAATAAATAGAAATTTTGAATTCGTGTGAAGTTGCATTTTAAATATAACTGAGGAATATAAATTGACATTTGCTAGTTTCTTTTTTTAAAAAACAATACTGAGCTGTCCGCAGTTAAATTGGAAAGACTTTAAATCCAAAGATTTTTAAATCTAATCTTTTCCTGTTTATTAGTTACCAGAGCAGTGTCATTAAAGGAAACTCAAAATGGCCATTTTATGCTTCTTGGAACCCTCGATTAATTAAAATTATCATTAGTAGTAACCAAATGGAAAACTGACAATAATAATTTTATTCTCTGTAATAGATATGACTTTCAAGTCCTTCTTTTTGCAGTTTTTTTGTAGCCTGATGAGGAAACACTTCTGAGAGAGATGGACAGTGACCTCTAATCCAAGCCTTTGTCACCCTGCGGTTTAAGAGCAGCATAAACCCATACTGCTTGCAGAAAATGCAGACATTCATTCTTGGATTAATATTCTGCTACCAGCTGTATGAGCCTGGCTCTGAAGAAGCTTTTTCTCTTAAATACTGTCAAAAATAGGGAAGCTGAAGATTGGAGAGAAGCCATTTATTTTGAACAGTTTGTTTTCTGACAGTTTGTGTTTGTAAAGAAACCTGCTCATAATATTTACTTAAGAGATCTACATAGTTGCCCGAAGATGCTACACAGGTTTCTTTTTTTCCTTTAAAGAAAGTTTCCATAGAGCTTAACTCTTATGTGATACTTCTTGACTGTGCTTCTGATTAGTTGATTTATGGACTTTATTTACCGGCATAATTGGAGAATTCTTTTGCTGTGCTGAAATTGCACTCTGCCTTTGCTCTGGTCTGTTTCCTAGGTAACAAATGCACTGCATAGATTCCATAATGAGGACTGTGGTTGGCTAGTTACAGTGTAAATTCTGTTGTTTAGTAAAGCTTAGTCTCAAATTCAAATAAAGGTCAAGAAACCAAAAGTACTGAAAATGCAAATTTCGCATTTTCTTTTGTATCCAGTGTCAACAAAGTTTAGTATCCTTTTTGGGGGAAAGGCACACTATGCAGCAGTATTCTGGTTTGTTTTGTTAAATCTTACATGTAAACTGTTGAAGAGTTTGTTTGTTTATGTTTTTTTTTTTTTTTTGACTATTATTGGTATTACCAGTGGATCTAATGACAAAGATACATTTCAGAAACTTTCTATCACTTAATAATGTGGAATACAAAGGGATCTGGTTTAGGACATCAGTAATTGTTTTTTGGTACTAAAAGAAAGTAACATTTGTCTCTAAAGATAAATTGTGCTACTTTGTGTGAAATATAATTAAAATAATTTAAGACATTAAAACAATAGGAAAATTTTGAAAACGTTGAAAATCCTAGCATAAAATGATGCTCCGTAGTTTTTTTCCCCTCTGATCTGTCTGAACTTTGGCCTGACTCGCACCAGCTACCTAAAAGGTCTCTCTTAGGTGGTTGCAAGATGAAGAATAGCTTTCCCCTCCACCTTACTCTTCTGGAAAAATCTATGGCCTCTGTAGCTCTAGATGCAGGGCAAGAAGTAATGTATGTGGAATTACTAGTTGAGTATTACCTTAAATATCTTTTAAATACACATACACCCCGCCCCCCGAAAAAGAAACTTGCAAAGAATCAGAGCTCTATTAATAACCAGTGCAGTTATCTTTTCATTTGATAACTGAAACTGTTTTTTGTTAATCAAGGATTCTGTCAACTGAAATTTTTTTTTTTTAATTCTTTTGCATTCTAGAGAATTATCCAGAGTTGCCCCCACTGCTTTCCCTTGTTTGGCTGGTTTATTTTTGGATTATTTATGTATCTTTTTAATTAATTTTAAGGAATGCAACATATCTTACCTGAATTCCCTCTTTTTGGTTTTTCTCAAAGCTGATACTACTAAACTTTTCTGTCCTTTTAATTGTAAATATTGTGCAATCAGAACCCTTCAGTATTCCCTTGCAAATATTTTCCTTGTGATTATTTACCATTTTTAAAACTTGTTGCATTATTTTCAGGCATAATCACCACAGATCAAAAGTTTTGTCTTATGAGACTTCATACTTCTAAGGCGAGCTAACATTATTTGTGAACTGCTGCCCACCTAGGACTACTTCCTCTCCTCAATTTGTGTTAGTCTGTGAGGGCTATTAATAAAACACCAAACACTGGTTAGCTTAAACAGCAAAAATTTATTTTTTCATAATTTGTTTTTTCTGGAAGCTAAGAGGCCCAGTGAAGATGATGTAGAAAATTCAGTAAGTTGGTTTGGAATTCAGAAGAGGATCAGTGTGACCACATTCAGTG